TATATTATTAGTTACTATATATATATATATATATATATATATATATTGTTTGTGTGTGTGTGTTGTGTGTGTGTGTGTTCACGCATGTTCGTGTACGATAAAACTAGCAATTACGCATGTAGTGAAGATTGTATCATATCTGTATCACGCATATTTGTATTTCGTTGTATGGTAATTGGTGTATATGCAGATCAGCCCTACAGAAACAATAGTCAGTTTTCGTATATACCGGATACTGATGTAACAGGCTGATCATTGAGCGCAACTTTTGTTTCATTACATTTATAGGCCGAAAATAAACAGAATAGCTAGTTCAAATATATACATTGGCTGCCCGGTTGAGAACGAGGTTTCATGAGATTTTTCACTAACAGTGATCCTTGATGACAACACACATTCCAACTGCATCACTTTCACATATATATGCACACACAAATGTTGTAGTCGTACTTACGAACGCTCTGTTTTTTGTATATATATTCCCAACCTAGGCATCACCAGCCAAAAAGTGGCTAAGCTAGCTACATCCGTGTTGTATCATATCGACAATAAGTACTATGAGGAGGATGTAGACTTCCGCATATGCCATTCACCCAAAGATATCTCCGAGCAGACCTTTGATCGAGTGGAGGGAGTGATAGTATTTTACCACAAACTAAAGCCAAGCAAGGTACAGGCATTGTGGGCTCCTTGGGCGAGTAAGATCGGCGATGATATGCCTGAGCTAGCTATGTGTGTCAATGTGGACACGCCATTAGCTGAGGATGGTGTTGATAACCAAAAGGAAGGTGAGTAATGCACACCCAAGTCGAAGCTTGTTATTTTCTAGTTTCTGATTATGTACCAAACTTCGGTACTTAACCCGATCAGAACACGCATGTCAGGGTGTGTTATTTTGAGCGACGGCTTGCCTAAGCTGGCTCTATGTGTCAATGTGGGCGCACACTCTTGCCTGAAAATGGTGTGGATGAGCAGCAGGAAGGCGGGGAAGGCCAATTCAAGTTGATGTTTGTGTGCTTTCTATCACAGCTGCCTACAATCGTTCATTAAATCTATATACAAATCTGCTCATGCTGGTGTAAACTGAACATGTTCCTGCGTACAAAAGGACCTGCATTCGACGTAAACGAGTGGTGTTTAGAATCCGGGTTTGAGCACGTGTCAGTGGTATGCGGAGAGGCACTTCGAAGCGATGCGGGACAATCCAGGCTTACAGACGAAGACATGAATGGGTCTGACAGGATAGTGGAAGCTCTGCACTGCACAATGTGGAGCACGATGCGTATGAAGGGAGACAAAGATACAGGCGCCAGCACGAGAAATACTAGTCATATTGTAGACGGTGATGATGCTGAGGTATGCCATGGCGGAAGCGCGATTTCTCATTTGTATATTTATAATCCAGTAGGATTATATATGGTTACATATTGGTTGTATATGTTTGGTAGTTTTCTATTTGCCATTCAAGGACGAATATATGATAGGGTCTGACGAGATAAGCTCTCCACTGCACAATATGGAATACAGTGCGTATGTAGGTGGATATAGATACGGGTAGCAACAAGAGCATTGCCAGTTACATCGTAGAGGATAGTACTGTAACCGTATGTGGCTGGGTGAGGATAAAGTTATATATGTATGTGTGTAACGTAGAGGATAAACATTTATCAACATATTTCATTGCGGTATGTGTAGTAGTGATCAAGTCTTGAGTAATAGTCGAAGTCATGAGTGAACTAGATACAATGTCATTCTTACCACAATCCAAACAGGTGGACATAAATTTAAATGAACATGATGATATTGATACGATACAACCTTCGCATGACATACGCTCTACGGCAGAAGAAAGCCGAACAAGTGCACAAGTGGATGCGGATCTGGGTAAGCTGCGCATTGGTTAATAACTATTTCTGGGTGTGTGTGTATGGCAGTGTGTATATCAATTAGGAATTAATATTTTTGATTCGTGACCAATCCTGGACTTTACGTGGGTAACTATCAAGAATCGTGGAAATTGAAGTCCAATTGTTATTTGGACCGTATGTATAGAGGAATTTATTCCAGCACACTGATTCAATCGTATTGAAAATGCGATTGTACTGGAGTATATGCATATCAACTGATGGAAACTGATCCATGACAAAATGCTAGACCGTACATGAAAAAGTATGAAATAGTCTATTGCTATTCACACGAACGTTTGGATACAATAGCTCATAATATTAACATTGGAAGTGATAATCCATGGCTAATCACACTGCACTTCAACTATTGTAATATTATTAAACGAGCAGCAGCCTTCCTGACCCCCGATGAGATGAAATTCATGGAGGGTGGTTTCTTCGGAGACGATACGAATCCTGACGATCCCATGGACAATTTGGAAAAATCGTTCATGCTAATGAACTCGCTTAAAGGTGCGGCAAGTTGCTCATACAAACATATATATATAAATTCATACAAATCACCTGCCTGTGGCTTTTATTGCCGAAATGCAGGTGCATGTATGTTGTTACTGATACATAAAAATATGTACGTTCTGTATATATTGTAAATATCGTCGGAATTGGTGCAGAATTGATTTTTTTGAATGTCCGTCCATCAAATTTTATGTATTGGACTATTCTATGTATTTAAAGCGAGTATAAGTTATATTGTCGGAAAATTGATATCTGCAGATACATATTTAAGTGGTATATGGATTTTCATGTGTGCATATTCCAACTGCTTAAACAACACGATGATGTTCATAAATATGCACACATACACAACGGTTGTTTATGTAGAGATACACTGGATACGTTTTTAACAGTTCGATATCTCTTTCGAACGATACAGAAATTATCAACGCTACCTATGGAGCTACAGATATAAACATATATCTATGTTACATCTCGCATACACATGGCAGTTGTATATGTCAGTGTTCGATATCGATATATTTTGTCATCGTTTCTAAAGTTGCGATATTTCGTCAAAATCACAGAGAAAGTATCGACGCTGCCTATGGAGCAAAGGCATATAGTGGCGGAACGGGTCGCGATGGCCTTCTACCACGCTATGGATGGAGGTGATTCTGAAAACGAGGAAGACGATTTTGGGTTGGTTCACAGCTAGTATAATTAAAGTATTTTCTAAGTATGAAATATTCATCATATATCGAATTATTCAATCTCAATTTGCATCTAAACTAGCATATATATATATATATAAATATATATTTATATACTTATAGTTTCTTTCTATATATATATATGTGTGTGTGTGCGCGCGTGTGTGTGTGTGTGTGCGTGTGTGTGCATGTATA